TTGAAATTTTATGAAAAAATCGAGCATTACTATATTCGGAAAAAAGTCCCATGACCCGTGTCAGGGGAGTGTACATGCATCCCGTGTATTCTGATCAAGTGTAGAATTAAGTAGATGGAAAAATAAATTTGTAAAAGAAATCTATAATCAAACGGAATTTTTAAATTAATTTCAGTCGACTCTCCCAAATGCAAAATCTGGATGTTCCCATACTTATATATGGGCTACTGATTATTATACATCTATAATCTCTCTTCTGATAGCATGTTAGTCATATGGTTCCGACGAATAATATTTAGGGAGAGTTGACCTTATATTTAATTGTCATTGTTCGAGTGAAGTAAAACAATTATATCTCTGAATTCATTACGGCTGTCTACATTACAATTATTTTTAGCCAAATTTTTGGAGAATTTTTTAACACAAAAAAATTCTTCTGCGAAAAGTTAATTTGAATAATATGATACGAAAATCATTACATGAAGATTTTTAAAAAGATTGCAAAATTAAATTCTCATGAAAAATGATTTAAAATTTTATCAAAACTGAGTTCCGTTCTGATTTTTCTTTGATCACTATTATCAATTGTGCATGTAAACTTAGATACCTATTTTTCAATTAAGGTTATAAAATAAACATGGTTCTCTGCATCTATCAAACGCTTTCGATGCATTCTAAATTTTCCCAAAGCTGTCACTAATTACATAAGGATTGGTTTTTCAGAATGCGCAATAAAAAAAATAGTTTGAGCGAATAAAATCTAATACAGATGTGAATATTTTCATCTGTTAAAAAAATTGTAACTGACAAGAGAACATTTTTGATATTTCGAGTAAATTAAATACAAAGTAGAGCATCAAATATAATAGAAATATCGAAAATCCAATACGGGTCTAAAATTGTTTATTAAAAACTGTTCGTTTCATTGAGATAACCCATTACGAGAAATGCATGTGACTTTAATCACCGACCATGATCTTTTAACGCATTCAACCAGAACAACCATTACAACGTGGGAATCGTCGCAATATTACAGTCGATTGCAATGTTTAACGGTAGTGACTTGCAACATTCAAATCCCAAAGTACACTACATTATTACCAAATTATACTATAACACTGGTCAAAAAAGATTATTTTTATCTAAAAATATCACGGTTAAATGTTAGTAGAAATCGAATTTTACATCATTTACTTCAATATTGACCAGGCAAAGCAAAACTTTCTAACAGTTAGTTAACGTAATATAATCAAATCTCTGTATAGCGATCTCGGGAACAAGTAAAATCTATTGTACCGAGAGTGGAGAGATCGCAATATTAAAATTTTTTTTAATTGATAGCATATCGGCTCTCAAGAAACCCCTATTATAGTCCTAACTATACGCCTGTATACTAATAACTATTCAAACCAAATTTATTTATGGTTTTCGAGATCGTGTACGATTGAGAGGCTAAACTTATTCTTTTAGTGAGACTGCCGATATGATACTATTACAGTATGGGTCAAAAGTCTTTGGACAAATTTAAAAAGCAATTACACAGTAATAACTAATTAGTTTGCATGAAAATTAATATATACTTTAATATCTATAAAAAAGTTTTAATTAAATTATTTATTAAAGAATATTATTATTATTTTTTTTAGATTAATTTTTTAGATTAAAAAAATTATATGTATATTTATATATAAAAAATTTTGCAAAATGGCACATAAAAAATAATTTTAATCATATTTTTCTTTATTATGCAATGAAAATTTTATTAATTTTTATCAAAATTTTACTACAAATTCTTATAATCTAATAAACAAACTTACTTACAGTGACAATCAAAATAATGCAATGCTTAAATTTTTTACTAATTATAATTAGTAAAATATGTATTTTTTCTTACATATAAAAATTTTTAATTTTATTAAAAAAATTTTTTTTAGCTCAAAAAATAGCTAATGTTCTCTAGCTTAATATATATTTTTTTCAGATTTTTTTACTGGCAACTTGTGCTAATTGCACATGGAGTCAATTAATTGACTTCGTATATAATTAGAAAAATCACCAGTAAAAAATCTGAAAAATCTGAAAAAATTATATGTTAAACTAGAGAATTTTAGCTATTTTTTGAGCTAAAAATAAAAAATATTTGTCAGTAAAATTAAAAACTTTTATATGTAAGGAAAAACATGTATTTTACTAATTATAATTAGTAAGTATTGCATTACTTTTGATTGCCACTGTACATTAATATATAAAATAACATATTAAATTAATTTTTAAAAATTTTTGAACTTCAATCCAAGTTTATGAGATATTACTAAGATTTTTTTTTAAATTATATTATTTTTTTATTTTTGAATACTAAAATATATACTGTATATATAAAATATTTTTTATTATTTAAACAATAATTATTTAAATTAAAAAAAATTCCAATCATGCTGTATCGTCAATCTATCGATATAGACATATTCTATGAATTTTTAATGTTTTTTCGGATATTAGCTAAAATAAAATGAATGGACAAACCATTAAAAAGCATAGATGTACAAAAATCAAGATTCTAGAATATGTAACGGTAAGCTTCCTTATATAGTTTAAATGCCATGTTGAGATATTTAAAGAACAATATACATGTACACGTATGCACAATGATACATGTAGATCATTATCAACTAACAATGCTTCATAATAATAACGATAATGGACATCAATATTTTAGTTCGTGATAAAAAGCGAAAATACAAGTTATTCTTTGAAGCAATAAACAAAAATAAATCTTCATTTATATTCTCGACCGCAGAACTATCGGACGATGCCAACAAAAAGAACAAAGATGAAAATCATATTGTGGATCGTCTAAGTGCACCTTTTGTGCCGGAACTACGGGTAGACTATTACGACACATACACCACATATTCATGGGACAAGCAAGAAGTAATCGAATCGGTAATAGAAAATGCTAGGATCCACTATGAATATAACCAACCGATAATTGAACGTGACTTCGAGAATCGCCGTAGATGGTCCGAGCATGAAATGTTGATAAAGCAAAAAAAAGCACTCCTAAAATTTGAAGAAATATTTTTCAACAATACGGAAAAATATTTACCAGGGTTTGAATATCTTTATGAAGTAGGAATAAGTAGGAAAAGCGGATACTGTAAAAATGTTTTAATTATGACAAATGGATACGGAATTTTTGCCGTTATTTTCTTTGATATAACATTAAATACAGCGAAAACGAAAGAGAATAAAGAGCGTTTTATAAAGGAAAACCTCAAAAATCTGGATGTCATCTCAGTTGTTGGAGTTGCAGTAGCTTACAAGGAGAAAGAAGAAATTAGCTTTGTCAGTAAAATCGATTCTTCAATCACGAAATTTGTTGCAGCAAAAAGAGTCATTGGTGCGAGTGTTAAAATCGACAAAGACAATAATGATAACGGAAATAAAAAAAACGATGGTAAGAATTTTGTTGAATAACGCTCTTATTAAAATCTATTTAATTGAAATAATTAGTTCTAGGTTTTTTATTGAATGACTCATTAAAGAAGAAAAAGACGATTGAGAAAGAAAAAGAGGAAAATTTAAAATCTTTAAAAATTCAACAATTCAAAGTTATTCTAGAAAATTTATACGCTCGAGAGCTCCGCATTGAACAGATCTTAAATCAGGATATTAACAATAAAAATAATGATAGTAATGATTATAACAATGAAAACAACAATTATAATGACGATGTCATTATCGAGAATGAAAGCATCGAAAAAATAAATAAGTTTGATGATGGTATGTTTTTACGATTTGTATTTAAACTGAGGTTTACCGTAAATTCTGATTATTAAGCTACCTTTTAGCTGCTACAGAATTTTTGAATAATGAAGATAAACTTGGAAATGAAAAGGAAAAGGAAAATAACCAATCTCGTGAGATTAAGCAACTCAAAAAAGTAATACGACATTTGACCGATCGAGAACGCGAACAAAATTTAATGTCTCAAACACTCGACCAAGAAAAAAAATATCAACAAGAAATGCACGATTTCAAAATCAGAGTCAATCAGCTTGCAAATGAAATTTCCAGATTAAACGATTTAATTACACAAGACAAACAACAACATGCGCAGGAATTACAGCTCATCCATGAAATGGAAGCAAGAAATATCGAAATTGGAATGCACGATTTCAAAATCAGAGTCAATCAGCTTACAAATGAAATTTCCAGATTAAACAATATAATCACACAAGACAAACAACGACAACATGCGCAGGAATTACAGCTCATCCATGAAATGGAAGCAAGAAAGATCGAAATTGAGAATCTGAAGAAAGAAAACTTAGCTCTACAAGAGGAGAATCGCAAACTACTCAGTCAGTTGGATTCGGATGGAGCAAAGAAAGACCTCTCTGGCGAAACGGAACTAAAAATGAAATTAAAATGGATGCAAGAACGGCAAAAACAAGAAAGACAGGAATTCCAGGAACGAATCGAGATGTTAATTAAACAGAGACTTGAACTTGAATACGAGGTTAAGCAACAAAGCAATGCTTTTTTATGTGACTAGAAATTTTTGTATTTTATTTCATATTGTACTGTTTTGATAATTATTTCACCTTTTTGAATATACTTTTGGGCTTTTTAAATATCAATTCTCAAGGCATGTTGATTTTCCGACAAAATCTTATACATGTAATTGCGATTTTTTTTCATTAATGTTCAGATTTAAACTTAATTAGAATCTCAACATTCGTTATTCAAAATAAATCGGATAATATGATTATCAGGTAATCCTTGTACAATATTTATGTATGACATGGAGTTGTTAAAGGAGGAGAGAAGAGGATAAGGATCCGTATGTACTATATCTTTGATATGGATTTGTTTAACAGATCACTTGTACGGGAGAACCTTGTTGATGCCATTAAATGTTAATAAATCGAATTTTTTAAAATTCATTTCTCTCTTTTTTCCGAATTTACATTATACAATATGTAAATTCTACGGCTTACTTCTAAAAACTACTTGTAGCTTAATGACGTGTCGTCACGTCTTGATCTACAACTTAGGAAATGTAAAACACCACCACCATATGTTTACAAGCGTCAGTTAGAGTTTTACTGTTTAAACCATTTTCAAATTTTGCAAATACATCATTTGCAACCATATAAATTTATATCATTCGATATGTATTATTACTATTACATTCTTCAAGAGTTTTACGTTGATACACCATGAAATTATAGTTAGATTTCATGTTAAAAACCATGGTCCATGTGATGCAAAAGGGAGTAGATGTTGGAATATTATTTCTCTTAGGATAAAGTTTATTATTTGTATTAAATTCTATGTAATACAAATTGAGTGGAATAATAAAACCCATATATTTTATTAAATAAAAATACTCGAATCGAATAATAAACATTTTTAAATCCTAAATATTATTGGGCGTTTGGTTGAGTGATCCACGGAGATTACAATACTACCAACTAAATCGAATACGCCTTCTATCGGTCACACGAAAAGAGAAATAGGTGGTTCGGCGAGAGTTCGAATCACGAGATTTAGACCGCTAAAAGAAACGCGGATACTATTAGTAAAACCCACCCGATCAAAACAGTCTCCTGGTTTGTCTAGAAAATCACCAGTAATCGATCCGGCTAGGTAACAACGTAAAACCATACCCATACTAAAAATAGAGCGTTACATCATTTGCGATATCCATGATCATTTTAATAATGATTATTCCCAACATTACAACATGACGTGACTCATGTCGATACTGTGGGAATAATAAATTTACTTTCTCTTCTCTCTTTATTCTGTATTCACTTTACCCTCCCTCGCTCTTGTCCACTCGTTATCCCACTAGTTTTACTCGCTTATTTGGTTATTCGCTTTGCCCACACTCTCACCTGTCCACGCTCACGCTCTTGCTCGCTTGCCATTCGGTCTTGTCCACTTTTTCGCTTGTCCACACCTATTCTTTGCTCTTGCCTACACTATCTTGCCGACCTTTTAGATTTTTATGGAGGTAATTTTGGTGAAAATTAAGTATTGGTAAGCGGATGCGGTATAGTCGATTTAATGTTATTAAATATAAGAGGTATGTATAGCTATTATATGAACGGGTTTTCTGAAGAGGTGATTGGTTGTATAGAGGAATAGATTAGGTCTATTGATCGGAGTCATCGGAGGATGTAGTCCGGAATATATCCAATGGTGATAACGTGGCACTATATGATTGGTCACCGATTCCAATCAATCTTTAGACTAACACACCTGTGCTTATTTAACCAAAAACAAGTGGCGTAGTTGAGGATGCCAAGTCATACAATCTTTGAAGTGTAAGTTTATAGTTGCTTTACACATCAGATCTATCCTGACATATTTTCCAAACGAACGATTTCCACATGAACGCTGTAAAGGTTTGGCCTTATTTAACATTTATAGGTGGATTTAACGA